TTTTTTTCTAAATTTAAGAATTTTGAGACAATTCATGTGTTTTTATATTATCGTTAAAATGGAAATAAAATATAAATAGAGACTATTATGATAGAATGATTAATTAAAATAAATGTATAATGAAGGGTTAAAGTAAGAAAAAGAAATAATCTACCTCAAAAAATGAAAAAAAAATTAAGACAAATTAAAAATAAAAAAATTATAATTATTTTGAAACAAAAGAGTAATAAGAATACACTTCTTTACCTACAGATAATTTCTTAGAATATATTTGTTTCAAGGAAACAGAGGTGAGGGTGTGGTTGATTTTTTGATCAATGTGTTGTTCAACGTTGTAATTTGATTTTTTTTTTTTTTTATCAACAAAATGAATGTTGTAATTTGATTAATCATAAAATTCACCATCCCTTCCCTTTCCCCTCCTTTCGATTTCTCTCAAACCAAATCTATTCATAATATCTGTTCTAAGAAAGTAGCTCAATTGATTAATAATTTGATACTCAAATTTGAAGATTTTTATTAAATTTAAATATTAAGTAAGATAAAGTAATATGGAAAAAGAGAAATTGCTATGCCTGCCTTTTTAGTTACATACAATGTAAGAATAGGATTGTAGTTATGGGCACACTCAATTTTGTTAGGATAATACAGTTGAATTATTATTTTATTAATTTATAATTTTTTAAATAGTTATTTATAAGAGAAATTATATGTAACCTACTTGTAGTTTAAGATAAATGCACTTAAAGGCCTATGATATTAAAATGTATATTTAAAGACTTGTGCTTTAAACCATGAGCACTAAGCTACTTGCACCGTCTAAATGATGTTAAAGTTATGTTTAATATTCTAAATACCCTTAATCTAAGATAAGAAAAAAAAGAGAAAAAATTCAACTGTTGTAAATTTTGTTTCATGATAATCTTTAAAGATCAACTCAAAAAAATAAAAATAAAAACAAAAACAAAAACGAAACAAAACAAGTCTACGTAGGTAACCAAACAAAATCTTTCAATTATTGCAGTTTGTATTCCAAAGTAAGTTCTATTTTTAATTTTCTTCTATCAACTTTTTTGTATTCGATCAAAAGTTTTGTTACTTGTTTAGTACTTCAAAATTAGGGTTTTATTTGAAAATTGAAAAACTCTACATTTATTGTTGGCTATTATAAATAATATATCATGATTTTATGCATATTTAATTTCAATTACTTTAAACCGTACATGCTAATTATGAATATTTTATACATGTGCAAATTTTTTCTTTCAATTGAACTATGCAAGTGGTTTAGACATTAGGTAGTTAAAATGACTGAATTATTTTACTTTTTATGTATTTTTGGTATAGATATATTTTGTAGTGTTGGGTGAAACAACAAAATTAAGTAAGAAGAGCATTAGAGGAATTAAAATAAAAAATTAAGTTCTTCGATAGCTTCTTAATGGCAATAGT